TCAAAAGGACTTGCAATCAGAATTTAGAGAACACTTACAAACTCTGTAAGAACACAAATAACCTAGCACAAAAATGGGCAACAGATCTAAATGGACATTTCACAAAAGATGATATACGAATGGTTAATAACCATGTGAAAAGATGCTCAACATCTTTAATCATTAGGGAAATGCAAATTAAAATCATGAGACACTGCTTCACCCAATAGGATGATTATAACTTAAAAAAAAAAAAAGATAACAAATGTTGGCGAGAATGTGGAGAAACTGAGACCCTCATACATTACTGGTGGGAATAAAAAATGATGGGTCCCAGCTCTTTGGAAGGCTGAGGCAGAAGATCACTTGAGCCCAGGAGTTCAAGGCCAGCCTGGGCAACATAGCAAGACCTTCTCTCTAAAAAAATTAAAAAATTTTTTTAAATGATGGAAAACCCTGGCAGTTTCTCAAAACTTTAAAATATAAAACTACCATACAGCCCAACAATTCTACTCCTAGGTGTCTACTCAAGAGAAATGAAAATCTATGTTCACATGAAGATTTGTGCACAATGTTCATAGCAGCATTATTCATAATAGCTAAAAATTGGAAACAACCTAAATGTTTACCAAGTGATAAATGGATAAAAAAATTCAGTATAGTCATATAGTGGAATATTATTTGATCATGAAAAGAAGCAAACTACTACCATGCTACCTCATAAGTGAACCTCAAAAGCCTACTAAGTAAGAAGAAGAAATACATAAGAGAATACATACTGTACTAATGCATTTAAAATATCATATAAATACACACTATCAATGGATAAATATTTGAAATGTCCAGAAAATGCAAATTCACAGAAATGGAAAGTAGATTAGTGGCTGCCTAAGGCTGGGGCTAGGAATTAAGATTAACTATAAAATGGACATCTTATTGGGAATAGGGAGTGAAAATGTCCTAAAGCAGATTTATGGTGATGTGCACCACTTGGTAAAGTTACTCATATAATTGAATTGCATATATTAAAGAGGTGAATTTAAAAACTTGTAAAATGTACCTCAATAAAACTTTTTAAAAATGATACATCTTAAAAAACTTTTTTTTTTGAGACGGAGTCTCACTCTGTTGCCCAACTAGAGTGCAGGGGCATCATCATATCATCATAGCTCACTGCAACCTCAAACTCCTGGGCTCAGGCAATCCTC